GTTACACCTAAATTATTCAGTTTGGCAGCAATGTTAACCAATTTCATAATATGATCACGGACACTACCAACAAGGTCATACTTTATGGTAGATAGAGAATCAATCAGGCTACCTATCTCAGCTTTATCAAATTCTAGGAATTTCTGTCTAATGGCACTCAAGAAATCCTTTACATTTCCATTATCCTTAATTGCATATTTTATGTAATCACAAATGGATTTGTTCATGATCATAAGGCTCAATTTGTTAGCCTTTATCCATTTCTCATACTTACTCATTTCATCAGCAGTGCTAGTAGTTGTAGGTTCAACTTGTTTCTGTTCAGTCAATGCAAAGTCCATGTCCATCAAACCTAATACTATTTCAATATCCTGTTTCCACTTCTTGTAGTTGCTATTAGTCAGAGTTTCAATGAAATTCAACTTAGTAGTCATGTTGTTAACATCTTTATAAGCAAACAACACAAAAATTAGATAAATTTATGGACATGCATATATAAATCAAAAGAATCAAAGACATCCATTACACTCTTCCTTTGGGTGGAAGATGCAATTGTCTCCTCTTTTAAAAATCAATGAGTCTAAGGCATTCATTGCAGCATCATCTTTAGGCAAGAGATACAAAACCTCCTCCCCTTATTATCCAAGAGTACAAGGCATATATTATGTCCTTCCTTTAGGTAAGAGACATAAAACCTCCTCTAATAACAAATTATCTTTATTTATACACATGAGAATTCAAGATATTATGTTCCTCCTTTAGGTGGAAAACACAATATCTATTCTCATTAATTAATTTAGCATCACTAGTATCAAAAGGTAAATAACCTTCTATACTAGTGTACACTTTTCAAGGACAATTTAGACACGATTCATTGAGAATATTTCGGTGACTCCAATAAATAAACCAATTTGGTGGAAACTACTCATTAATCATAATTCTCAACCCATATGTTAAATGATTTCACATGTATATAGTATCAAGAACCTTTCAGTAACTCCAAATAAATAGACCACTTTGATGACACTATTTATTAATTATAAGCTCTTAGTTGTACACGTTAATACATGTGATAAAATAACACATATAATTTAAACCTTTCAATTTATTTCTTATATCAATTTTGAATCCATTTTCTGACTTAAAATAATATGAATAATTATAAATAAATAAAAAAGCAATCGTCGGAAGCTTTTCCTTGGTTATGTTAGGCATTATACCAAGAAGACAAATTTTGCTAAGAACCTTTGATGCCAAACCAAGCTGCAGCATCTTTAAGCCTTTTGAACATAAAAGTTTACTATTTCTTTGTAAAACTAGCTTCAAAATAATGTCACACTGCTCAATTTCCAAGCTGTGTGTAGGGGTTGTATTTATTTTATTAAAATAAAAGGTTAAACAAGTAAACATAATAGCCAAAATACCTAAAAGGTACATATTAATTCTTACATACACCTTTAGGTTTCAACAAGTAAACAATCGGATAACACCGAGAACCAACGAACAATCATCGTCAACCACCCTTTCATAATCAGGTTTAGAAATTATATTTAAATTCATAAAGAAAAGTGATGTTTAGAACCACAATTCAGTAACTTCTAATCAATTTAAGCGACCCAACAGTGTCAACAATTTATTTTGATGAGTCGAGCACTAAATCAGGTTTCGCACCGTCGCATCGAAGTATCAAACAACATTGCTCCACATATACAAATACGAATTCTTTACTCAAAATTAAATAACGATCTTAATCTCTAACTATGGTGACTCTGATATTAACTGTAAGATAATTAAATAGTAGCCATAACAGAGATTAAGACATAATTATACAGATATAAAATCATAATCTTGAGTTAAGAGTCTAAGAAAGCGTATCATTAAACTCCATGGATTCAGCAACGACAGCAACGACAACAAACGACGATTAAGCCTGAGACCAACTTCCACGATCCACTAGCTACGCGCTCTCACAGCACGTAGAACTTGACCGATATGACGTCTACCTTTACCACATATTCAAGAGGCAGAATACGCTAGGGTTTTCTAATAGCCAGGGAAAGGGGGTTAGCCTCTATTTATAAAGAGTACCTACCCATCACAGATTCACAGACCAATTGTTATTGGGCCTCACTTATCTACACACATAGTATTTAATACTATGCATTTTATTTATCCACCACTTGGATTGCGTCACTATCCTTTCATGCTATAATCAATTAACGCAAGTCCAAATTCCAACATGTGTATCTATTTTTTGTTCGTGGTTTCTTTTAGAAAACATGACAGAGCCCAGATGGTGATATATTATTTCTGTTTGATATCATGTGCTCGACAAGCTGGAAAACTGAACAGGAAACATTACTCCCTCCCAACAACTTTAATTAATTTTTTGGTTTTTTTTCTTTAGATATTACGAAGGAATTAACTTTTTTTTCTTCTAAAAAGTTGCCCTGAAATTAAAGATTCTTAGAGTATCAGTTATATTTCCAATGACAAATAATGTGTAGAAATACTAAAAGTTAATATGATTATTTTTATTTTTGATTAATATTAAAAGATAGATTTCTTAATATGTGCAAAAACATCCAAAAATTCAATTAAAATGAACCGGAGAGAATTGAAAAAAAAAAATAGAGGGGGGCGGGGCGATTTTTCATAGTGATCTGGTTAACTATACTAAATGTAGGATGTTTAATGAACTGCTTAAACTAATATAGCATGGTGTATTAGACTAGTAAGGAAAAAGAAGAAGTGAATCAACACTGTATATTACACAGATTTTCAGGTTACATATACATATTGAACAGTTCACTGCACAAACAATCTAGCTATTTTCAGGTTCGGACTCTCCGATAAGTTATAATAGTTTTGAGGAGGAGTGTCCAAATCGAACCGAAAAATTGCACCAAACCGAAAAATCAAACCAAACCGATTAAAAACCCCGACTAGGTTTAGTTTAACTTGGTTTGATATTGAGTAAAAAAAAACCCGAACCAAACCGACATATAAATATATAATTTTTATAAATATTTTTAAGACTTTATATTGAATTTTTGATATCCTCTCATGTGTTAACCTAGAAAGTGTACATTAACGAAAATTATTGTTAGACGACTAAGAAAATAACTATCATGTATTACTAAAAAAATTCTCTTATTAGAATATTTTAATAGATTATATGTTTGTCAATTTTTTCAATATTTACTAAACATATATTCACTTATCAAAACTTTATCTATAACTTTAACAAAGTAAGATCGGAATAATATCCATGTAACAAAAAAAAAATCCCGAAACACCCGACAAAACCGAACAATCCAAACCGAACCAACCCGGTCCATGTACACCCCTTGTTTTGAGGATGTGGTGTATGCCCATCTATGCACGGGCCCAATATAGTAAAAACGTTTTTGAGGGGAAAAAAGTTAGGAATTTTTACCTCCTATAGCAAAGGTTAACACCTTATTTATTTTAAATAAATACTATTTAAAAAAATTATATTCTATAGATATCTTTCAAGGTTTATAGCAAAATATTTAATTTTGGTTACCTCTTAGCCCTAAGCCACTAAATACGCTATTCAGTTACACTATTTTTTTCTCTCTCTACTTTGATACATCCCATTCTCTGAAAACACGATGCTCAATCTCAAAATTCCTTTCACCCATACTATTTTCTTTTCATTCCGATCAATTCTTACACCGAATATTTGAATTGTGATTTCTCTGTCATCACTACACTCTCTGAAGTCTCAAAACCACTTGAGTTTGCTATATATTCAAAGGTTAAAATGTTTATCTCTTTGTTCATTCTTCATCTGTTGGTTGCTGCCAATGTTAGAGGGCACGAGATCAAGAAAATGTTAGAGGGCACGAGATCAAGAAAGGAGATTTCTCTGTTAAGGTCACTAAAAGCAAATCAAATCCCTAACCAAATCACTAAAAACAGATAATGAAAATAAGAAGACGCGTGTTGTACCTTCAAATTTCAAAGGTGTCGCGTGTTGTACCTTCAAACGTTACTACGGCGGATTCGCTGGAAATTAGGATTTGTTCTTGAACAAAAACGACGGAGTTTGGGGCTGAGCAACTTATTTTCTGTTAATGTATTTCAATGTATTCATTGTCTTTTTTTTCCATTGTAATTCAATATATCTCGTTGTATTTCATGTATTTCATTGTATTCACTGTCTTTTTTTTCATTGTATTTCAATGTATCTCGTTATATCCCATGTATTTCATTGTATTCACTGTCTTTTTTTTCATTGTATTTCAATGTATCTCGTTATATCCCATGTATTTCATTGTATTCACTGTCTTTTTTTTTCCATTGTATTTCAATGTATCCCACTATATTCTATGTATTTCATTGTATTAACTGTCTCGCTATATGCCATGAACGTATTCATATGTTTTTTTTTAATTAATATAATTTATGTATTCAAATATATTATATAATTTCTCTGAAGGTTAGCTATGTTTTTGGGGTATTTTTCGGTTGAGAATCTTTTTTATAACTGAAAACACAAAATTTGTGTGTTATAATTAAGTTTGTTGAGTTCTATTAGGAGTCTATTATGTTAATTGATTCACTTTTCGTTTTAAAAATAGTGTAATCCCCTATTTCACGCCGTAAATACAGTCGAATACAATAATCTGTCCAGCTGTAATCTCATGTTTCACTCCATGAATACAATCGAATACACTCGAATACAACAACTGATTAGCTAGACTTCCCTGATTCACGCCTATTTTTGCTAATGTATTCATGAATACAATAGCTTAAATACATCTTATAACCACAGAAAAGGTATCTATAATCCGTAATATAGCAAATGGTATCTATAGATGGCTAATTACTACTAAAAGATAGTGCTTTATGAAAATTTCTCACAGGGAATTAATTAAAGAGAATCAACTTGCTAAAAAATCAAAATTTGTTCTCTGTGTAAGGGGATATTCAACCCAAAGAAACTTCAAATTAAAAGCCAATACATATCATGAAAATAGAAGAGACCAAATCCAGTATAAATCAAATAACATCCACTAATAAAAGAACAAAAACAACAAAAATTTGTTCAAAGAAACTCTTAGGAACATTCTGTTACTACAAATTATAATTTTTATCTCTTGGATCTCACAAACTCTTCTTCATAAGTCCAATAAATTAAGAGTTGCAGATTAGTTTTTATAAGAAGGGTTGATTTGCACAAAAAATGAAGTATTCTAATCTTTTTACCTGCAGTCAAGAAGTAGCATATTTAGTGGGGTGAAAAGGAGTCATAAGTAACGTAGTACATTTTAAAATTTAGAGAAAGGAAAAGAAATTTAGAGTAGTCTTGTAAAGAAGGAGCCCACCCTTCAAAATATCCTTTCATAAAATGAATAAATTTGTACTATATATAAGTGAGAAAGGCAGGAATGAACACAACTAAAATAGTGCTATTGTGTGCATCACGTGCAGTGCCGAGATATGATAATTTGAACATCAAACAGCATAAAGCCATAGAACTCCCATAGAAATATCTCTGGTTCCTTTCTTTCCACTAAACACATGCCAAATCATTTTCCACGTCCTATTCCAAATGCAAAATGTGCATAATAGACAAAACTATAAGACATCTAGCATGCGGAATCATCATCTTAAGACGTCATATGAGACTTCTGCATCAATTTTTCTCTCTTATAAAATACTTCATCAGCTGGAAAAGAAAGGAGAAACTTATTTGGATTTCAATAGTAATTTATCTTGTTCAATTATGGGATTGGTTTTATTAGGTTTAATTGTGGGACTTTAGCCATGAAGTTCGGGTTTTAAGCTTCTTGTATATTTTTCAAAAACTACAGTTTAACTAAGTAAATTAAAGTGTATTGAAGCTGAGAAGGAATATGGGGTCATGGTTTATGGATATGAATAGTTTCTGGTTCACTCCTTTACTGAAAAAGTGTTGCGACAAATTAATTGAAGAATAGTATTTTCTCAACATTTCCCTAACAGTTCCTTTATAGCTCAGAGTAGATTAATGTGCGATGTCTTGCTGCTTTTCTTTTTTACATTACCAAAAATATAAAAAGAAGCTAGCAAGGACAACTTCTTCTCATTTCAATCAAATTATAAAAAAACAAAGGAAATGATCTTCTATTTGAAACCGAAACCATAAAACTATTGCATGTTCCTTCCAAAATAAATAACCAGAATGAGAAACCCAAGGAGCAAAGTGAAATCTTAGAAAAAGAGTAGCACAAAAAATAAGAGTCTTCATATAGCAGTTTACATATTTATTGCCTCATGAAAACCAGACTTGTCTTTTCAATCTTTTAGTTATACAGAAAAGAACCTTAGATTGAAATAAAGCACATGCTTGATAATGTTTGAATCTCTTCAAAAAATTAGCAAATAACAAAAATGCACTAAAATTTGAACTCAAAAGAATTAAAAGAGGTTCTTAGCGAGCAAAGTACCCCTTGTAATAGATGTAGCACCGAAAAGAGAGCTTGTGAATGTCTTTTGATCTTGCATCAACTTTCCTAACTCCTGCTTCTATTTTTTTAGGTTTTGGATCATGTGCAAGATTGTGAACTGAGTGGAGTTTATACTTTCCCAACTCCTGTCTCTTGTGCAGTTTATACTCTTCTCAATTTTCTATCTTTACCATTTAACCTCCAATTTTACATTATACAATTTGATGCACCAAATCATAGTGGAATGTCATTTAGCATTAAAAAGAACATGCGATTATCACTGAATGCAACGAAAAGATCATGCAGCTCTAACTGGCTTTCACCTGGCAGAAGGGTGCTAATTCTCAAAGCTACTCATCGAACTAAAGCTAACCAGAAATCTATAATGTACTCCTCCCTCCATATTCTGTTTATCCTTCCTTCACATCATTTTTAGTTTCATTTTGTTCAGTTAAAAATTCCTCAATCCTTTATTGAATTCTCAATTTTACTAAGATAATACAGACAGAATAAGAAAGATGAAAGGAAATAAGATGAAGAAAGAAAAGTGATGCATTGACGCTCACCTACAACTGCAATGTCTTTCCAGTTCACTCATTAAAGTGTCGAAAGTGGCGAATGAAGCTCACTGAAATTCATCAGAGAAGAAGGAAGAATAAAGTCATGTACCATTAAAAATTACATAAATAATGAAAATATATGGATGTAAAAGCTTAAATATAGAACATAGAGAAGAGTTACTTAGATTATAGAGAAAGGTCTGGCAATTCCAAGATAGGAAATAAATTCCACTTAATTGTCAAGTTCTCACTTCCGTAATAGGTAAATATTAACACTAAGTCACAAGGCAACAACTCAGTATCTAATGAGAATCAATAACTAACCAAACAAAAAATGCTTAAAAGAAATCCTTAGAGAAAAATGCTTAAAAGAAAATATTATAAAAAATGCTTAAAAGAACTAATTATGGGGCAATCTTGAAATGTCGATTCGTGAAACCATAGCACACTTCTTCCACATAATCACACATTCACGTGCGCAACCAAGGAAATTACGCAATAAATTAATTATTGTAACAGAAAAATACAACAGAAAAGGCATCTTAGCTATAATGCAACCTTTGAGAGGTTTTTTAACACGATCAAAAGTGTAATTATTGTTGAGCTAGCTAATTCAATCATCATTACATACCGAATAGAAAAATGGATCAGAAAAAGAACTCCATGCCACTTTGGATTGTATCTGATTTTCCCTGTTTATTTAGACAAACAGTATTACTACCGCAATAGACATAGGAAAATTAAATGCATTTCAAATAAATATAATGAACATTATTGCTCAGTATTTCTATCCAATAGGAATAAGTAATATACCTTTGGTGCTGCCGGATGATAGATCTCTGCCTTATAGATTACCTACAAGTAAAAAAGAAGTGAAATAAAAAAATTACAATAGTTGAGGCATATCGTCAAACATCTTTGCTGCATCCAAGTTCTTCCCTTTTCATTACTATTTTTTCTTTCTGATGGTAAATTCAGTGTACTTTTATAGAAGAATTTAAACATTCAACCACATGCATGTACAAAATTCAATAAGAGAACATGAAGAAAGAGCAAAGTCCATATATGAAAGAACCAAATAACAAAAATTACACTCGACTAACTAAAAACATAATAAAGCAAAAATACAAGGAGAATTTCAGAGGCAGAATGATGATTATAGATCAATATTATCTAAAAAGGATAGAATCGCAGGTTTAGATGTCCGTCGAGATATAACAGATAAAACTAAGCAAAATTCACAAATGCCACTAAAAACAGGAACCAAAATGTAAATGCATAAGACTACAACAACGTGGTTACCTCATGTTTGTACTCCTAAATCCTAATGCACAATCTATCGTCGTAGTGACATTTCTCTATTATTATTTGGAATTGGGCCTCCATAGCCTGTGCCTAAGTGACCCTTTATTTATTAGTAACAGAGAAGTGTAAGTAAGGAGAGCAAGGGAGAGAATGAGGAGATGGAATTAGGTATTAACCATTTAGTTCAGTGGGAGAGGTATGGGTACACGTGTTTGTAGAAGCAGTACACGTCTTGGAGTGAGAGAGGTAAAGGTATACAAACTAATCCGAGAATACAACTTTTAAGGCTTCTTGTACAATAACATCTAGCACATGTTCGTCCCATCAACTTCCACTTCTAAAATAAATAAAAACTAGATGGCCGGTGCCCGTGCTATGCAAGGACATATGCCCGACAACATTATGTTTGTGTCTGTATAGCCGGAAAAGTACTAAAAAGACTCAACACCGCAAATATATGTACTTGTTTCAATAGTTCGGTAAAATCGCTGAGTCTGGATCTTGACTTGGATCTTCCCTTCTTTGTCCTCGTTTGATTTTGAGGACGACCCCTCACCAACAGTGCTTCTCCTTCTCCGNGGAAAATCCCCCCAACTTTTGTTTTCCCACCGATGTGGGACAAACATTTTGCCAATTTCAACAGATAGCTCATGAACAGAAATTTATCAAGGTAATTGAAGGATAACATTAATCGAACAGACTAATGGTACAGAAAGTAGAGTCAAAGAGATCATAAGGAATCACCAGCCAACATTTGAGACTTCACTTTCCCTTTGTGACAGCAGGTCGGGCTGCCACCCAGCGAGATATTTCTTCAATATCTTTCATATTTATAGGTGACATTATGGTACAATATCAGTGATTCCTTTCAAATAGAGCACATGGCTAGAGTCAACATCTGTAGAAATTGAGGTCCTTAATCAAACGGTTGAAACATGGCAGAATGTAAACAAAGAATGACCCCAAATCCAAACGCTAATTGGGAAAAAAATATAACATGTTAGCACCTACGGAGACGGCCATGAAAAGCCAAAAGCATGGGCTATACCAGCGACAATAAGGTTGTCAGACTGAAGCAATGGGAAAAAACCAGGCAAAAGCATAACTCTAAGGCGCTTGAAGGGGGACTTGGAATTTCTCTGTCTTTTTCTTCTTAATCTCTATGCAAGGAAATATGGAACAAAATAAAAAGGTTAACTTTAAATCTCATTCTATATCAGTTAGTAAATAATATAACTTTTAACCTATGTGCACTGGGGAAGTAAATGAGTTAATACACATAATAAGATTTATAGTTCTAATCAAGTGAATAGGCAATAAGCAGATAACAGTAAAGAGAATACCTAATTCTAAGGACAATTCCTAGTTCTGGGTAATTACTAACTATAACAATCTCTTCTCAAGAATGCCTACTGATTTAAGAACAACAGGAAGTAAGCAGAATTAACAAGAAGAAAGAGCAAAAAGTATCAACACAAACTGTCCGTCTTATCGCTTATTATGGAGTTCCTCAGTAGGTGGTAGCTTTTTTTGTCGATTCAGCAGTCTAACTACACAATAAAAATAGTCGACGAGCAACTATATTCAACCACATGATTAAGAAAGAGTGGTTTACTTTCTTGACGACACAAAGAGCAACATCACAACCACCAACACCAGCTTCAATAATAACCAAATTACCGGCTTCGTTTTGTTGAAATAAAAAAAAATACTCTATTTACAATACGAAAAGAAAGTACTTTTAATAATATTTTTATTTAAGGTGGATGGTGGGAGAGGTTGGAGTGGGTGGGGTGTGGTAGGTAAGGGTAGGGGTTGGGTTGTTGGGGTAGGGTGGTTTGGATGGGGTGGAGGGGGTATTGGTGGGGACGAGGAATAGGATGGAGAAAGTTGAAAAATAGTTTTAGAAAATGTTTTCTCTTCTTTTGATAGAGAAAAAAACATTTTCCTCCAATTAGTGAAAAATGAGTTCACCTGTAAAATATTTTTCAAAATATTTAAGCCAATCAAACATGAAAAAATATTTTCTTTCATACTGAACGCACCCTTAAGGATGCTAAATTTGATACATTAATATAGCAACTAATCCAACCTTCCAAATTTTAACGTAAAAATAGCACGGTATAGCCATTTTTTTGGACTGGTCATTCAAAAATAGCCAGCGTTTACGAAGTCAATGAAAAATAGCCACTATTTTGTTGCAACAGAGACCGGTCCATCATAATATACTGGAGTTCGGTGCACCTGTGTATGAACTCCAGCATATTATGCTGGACCGGTATACTTTGCTGACTCCAGTATAATATACTGGAGACTGGAGCACCGGTGGTCTAAACTCCAGTATATTATACTAGACAATTATACTTGCTGGAACTCCAGTATATTATGCTGGAGTTCTAGTGTACTTATGCTGGAACTCTATCATATTATGCTGGAGTTTCAGCATACTTATCCTGGAACTTCACTATAATATGCTGGAGTTCATACACAGGTGCACCGAACTCCAGTATATTATGCTGGAGTTCTAGTGTACTTATGCTGGAACTCTATCATATTATGCTGGAGTTTCAGCATACTTATCCTGGAACTTCACTATAATATGCTGGAGTTCAAGCATACTTATACTGGAACTCCAGTATAATATACTGACGTATTTTCCAGGTTTTGAACAGTATTTTCGCTCAGATTTATCTTTACATGAAAAGTGGTTAAATTTCGATAACTTTTGAAACTGAGTTATTTTTGGACGACCAGTTGTAAATCAGACTATTTTTGAATTTCTCCCAATTTTAACGAGTTGGAGGGTGATATAAAGACTGACAGGTCAATTTGAGCTAAGCCCAATTTAAGTCGTTGAAGAGACAAGTCTACTTGAGGGGAGAAATTAAAAAATAGCCAGATTTACAAGTGATCATTCAAAAATAGCCACAGTTTTAGAGGTAATCGAAATTTAGCCACTTTTCATATAAAGATAAATCTGAACTAAAACACTGTTCAAAATTCGGAAAAATCCTCCAGCATAATATACTGGAGTTCCAGTATAATATACCGGTCCAGCATAATATATTGGAGTTTTGAGCACCGTGCTCCGGTCTCAAGTATATTATACTGGCTCCAGCAAAGTATACTGATCCAGCATAATATGCTGGAAGTTCATACACAGGTGCATCGAACTCCAGTATATTATGCTAGACCGGCCTTTGTTGCAGTAAAATAGTGGCTATTTTTCATTGACTTGGTAAACACTGGCTATTTTTGAATGACCAGCCCGAAAACTAGCTAGACCGTGCTATTTTAACCTACTTGAGCGACTAGCATAGCCCAAATCAGTTCAATTGAAACTAGCCTAGCGGACAATATCTGCTACACCTTACCTTAAGAATTAATCCAAATAGCCGTTCATCCAACCACTTAAACTAAAAATAGCCCGTAAAATATACATATAATTTATATATTATATGTATTTAATTATGTATAATCAATGTATAATCTATGTATATGGCTAGAAAAAGTAAACAATGAATATGGCCAACTATTTGTGTAAATATCCCAACTTTAAAGTCAGGCTAATCCAGAATGGTATACATAGATTTTACGTTGATTATACATATTATACATTCTCCATCTATTTTTAGTTTAAGTGGCTAGATAAGCAACTATTTAGGTTAAATCTTCAATTTGGTTGAAACTTCATATTTCCCCTGTTCTGAAAAATATACTCGTTTACTTATATATGGAGTTCTCTTGTTGATATCAAGGGGTAAAAATAGCATGGTGTAACCAGTTTTCGGATTGGTCATTCAAAAATAGCCTACGTTTACGAAGTCAATGAAAAATAGCCACTATTTTGCTGCAATAGAGATCGGTCCAACATAATATACTGGAGTTCGGTACACATGTGTATGAACTCCAGCATATTATGCTGGACCGATATACTTTGTTGACTCCCTGGAGCACCGGTGCTCCAAACTCCAGTATATTATACTGGACAATTATACTTGCTTGCTGGAGTTCTAGTGTACTTATGATGGAACTCCATCATATTATGCTAGAGTTCCAGCATACTTATCCTGGAACTCCAGTATAATATGTTGGAGTTCAAACATACTTATGCTGGAACTCCAGTATAATATACTGGCGTATTTTTCGGGTTTTGAATAGTGTTTTCGCTCAGATTTATCTTTAAATGAAAAGTGGCTAAATTTTGATTACTTTTGAAATTGGGCTATTTTTGAACGACCAATTGTAAATTTGGCTCTTTTTGAATTTCTCCCTATCTAGGGTGGTAAGCTGATCCTAAACCCATTTAACTCGCCCAACTCGTCCAGGTTGGGCTGCTCATTACCGCCCATTGTTGAACCCAGCCCATCTCAGTCTATCTAAAGTTGGGTCAATTTTTTGCCCAAATTTATTCATGAACAACTTTGTTAAAATATTTTCAAAATAATTTTTTTTATTTGACTATTTATGACCACTACAAAAGAAAAAAAAAACTTATTATGGTAATTAAATAATTCATAAGAAAAAACACGCATTAATTAAAACTTGGTAAGAGTTGCGTGGGTTGGGCGACAATCCAAATTTTAGCTCATCTTAACCTAGTCCATTTTAGTCCAATAACATTTATTGACTTAGCTTATTTTGACCCGCCCAAAATCACCTCAACATGTCAATTTACACCCCTATTGACATCCAACACATAAAACCCGCTGGCATAATAAGTTTTAGCTTGTTATGTTACGTTAAACTCTTTCTTCTTTTTTTTGGTTTCCCACCCGGTATCCGGTATTTGTATTGGAGCCCGACTATATCCGGATTCGCGCCGCGTAGGGCCTCATTCGGGGGGAAACGCTCCCTACCAAGGATTTTTCTATACCTATGGCTCAAACTCGAGACCTCTGGTTAAAGGAGGAGCAGTCTCATCCACTGCATCACATCCTTTGATGGTACGTTAAACTCTTTCTATTACAAAATGATTATCATATAGCTATCTAGAAACTGATAATACTAATAAGTATCAAACCAATTGATTAGAAACAAAATAGGGACACTAGTAGTAGACTTATCTTGCTTTAGAACCTACTCATCCCACTGGAAAATTTCCAACCATGGATAATATCTCGGGAAATTGTTTAAACACATGATTGCATTTTTTCTGGTCAAATAAAAAGCGTCAACTTTTTTTTTTTTGAAGAGCGTCAATTAATATCGAAATATAAATATTAGAAATTGTCGGGAAGACTTTGGAGCTTAAACCAAAATATTGCTGAGATCATTTAGTATAAATCTTTGTCAAGTACATGCCCAGTAACATGCATGGAGAACTAATTCAGATGCATGTACGCAATTTGATTTGAATACTATTATATAAAATTGACATACCATTTGGTAGTTTGCGATTTTGCA